TGAAAGGCTTTAAGATCATCTTTTCAGAAAGGTCCTTTTTAACCTCTTCGTAGAGGTTAGAAATCCCTGTTATGCTTTCTATAGGACGCAGGACTTTATTTCATGCAGTTACCTAAATGCATACATTTCTTGTTTGTGTGATTACTGGTTATTGGTTTAACATCTGTCTCTGCCATTAGCCTACAACCTCTATGAGAGCAGATAACACGTCTGTTTTTTTCTCCATTGTATACCTACCCAGTGCCTAGCAAGATACCCGGCTCATGGTGAGCCCTCATCACATGTTTGTCAAATGAATGATTAAGTGAACAAACCCCAATATCAGTTATATCACAATAAATATTTCCTGCTTATGGCCTAATCGGTTGCATCCAAATTTATTCAAGAGTTATATGACGAAGAGCAAACCAAACACATAATTCTTTTGCTAACGTGGAGGATGCATTCCAAGGACATACTTCTTGTTTTGACAGTTCATTTCTAGAGGCAGAAATATTGCAGGCAATCAGATGTAGCCCAAGGCACCAGACAAGGGTTTATCTTGCAAACATCATGAAATACTTTATAAATTAGGCAATTTCAGGCTGCGAGGGATGAAGACATTCTCAGCTTGTCTCAGTGGAGGTCTATCAGTTAGAATTCTTAATATTGCATGTGACAAAAGACCTAATTCAAGCTGCCTTAAACAACAAAGAGGATGTATTGGCTTCATAACTGAAAGTCTAGACACAGGACTGTCCTTCTTCAGGAAAGGCATGATTCTGCGGCCTACTGACGTCACCAGGGGCCCAGTTCCTCTTGGGGTTTACTTGCCTGCCAGCCATTGCTTTGTCCTTAGGTTGCACAAGGCCATTCAGGTTCTCCTTCCATGGAAGCAAAAGGGCTGCTGCCACCCCACCCTCTTATCTTCACACCCCCTGAGCTAGAGAAGAGAGCATCTTTCTTCCAGAATCTTCTGCAGTGAGTCTCAAACCTGACTGATGAGCAGAATCACACGACAAGCTGATTTCTAGAGTCCCATGCCAGCATCTCCGCCCAAACTCGGTGTATCTGGCATATGGCCTGAGAATCTGCAATTCTTGAATATCCTTTACAGAAAACTCTAAAGGAGAAACCAAAATTGTCTGATAACCCCACCATTCAGATGACACTGAAATTCTCCACTAACAGTAATCAATGCACAAAGTAGAAAAATCAAGCAGTGCTAAATGAAATGTAAGAAGTCTCTTCCCTTCCTTCCCTCAAAAGTGTCGCTGTTATCAGCTTCTTTATCAGATTTTCCACTGAAAAAGAATTTGTGCATTTACCAAAGCATATGGTGTATCCTTTTAAGGGTTTTGTGGAAAATGGATGACACCATTTATACTGTTCTGCTGCTTGATTTTTCTACTGCACAACGTAACTCAGAGACTGCTCTGTATCAGCAAATGGAGTTCCTGCCAAATCTCCTTAAAAGGTCTAAGAAAATGCCACAGTTTATTTACCCAGGTTCCTATTGATGAGATTGAGGTTGTTTCATATACAAATATCGCACCATGGGCATCCATCCTTGTCAGCGTTGACACTCTTTTGTGGGAAATTTCAGTCAACTTCTGTCAGTAGAATTGCTGGGTCAAATGTTACTCATCTTTTAAAAATGTTGATGTATGTTGACAAAATTCCTTTAGTTGAGATTTACTAGTCTGTTTCTATTATCATTTGGACCTTCACAAATGGTGCCCTTAGTTACATGTGAGTGTCTTATGCCAGTACGGGGTGCGGGTGCTGAGAATCTGAGTTTTTAAAAGCCCATCGTGTGATTTAGAAGCTCATGCGACTGTGAGAGCCACTGCCCCATCTTGTCGCACGGGCACCAAAATTTACCATGGCTGCATTCACTGGCATCTGCTTCCATACTCTCACCAGCAATAGGCATCGTGAAACTTTATAGCTTTTGCTAATCAGATTCATGAAAAGTGGTCCGACAGTGTTTTGATCTGCGTCTCTTTACTTCTGAGGAAGGATGAGCAGCTCTTCATATGTTTCTTGTTGATTGGTATTTCTTTTCCATGTTCTGCCAGTTCAGATTTCTGGCCCAGCATTTATTGAGTTATTTGTGTATTTCTTATTTATAGACATTCTTTACAAATTATAGAAATCAGTGTGTGTTCCATCTGTGTTCCAAATACTGATTTCCCCTTGTTTATAATTTCTTCTGACTCATGAGTTAGTTTGTTTGCTTAGCTATACAAGGTTTTTGCTTTGTTCTGTTTTGATATGGTGATATTTTAAAATCTTTGGTCTTTATGGTTTCTGAAGGAATCAAGTTTTTAAAACTCCCCAGGTGATTCTGCCAAATTTGGGAGTCCCTGTCTTACAGGATATATAGATAAGGAACAGAATACAGTCCCTACCCTTTTGGGTTTACAACTGCGTGAGAGAAAGATGAGCTTATACATAAAAGAGAACGAGGGATAAAGGGCACTGGGAAGTTTCCAATGAGCCATGCAGATTCTTGGCTTGTCATCAAAAGCCTGCCCAGTCCACGTTCCTCTCCTCAGCACCCTCCCCGCTCAGATCTTCGTGGATGGGATTGGGAGATCCCATCAGGCAGCATAAGGCAGAGAAAAGCCAGCCACACAGGGGAGGGGAGGTGACAATGGCGGCAGCACAGAACAGTGGAAGTGAAGCCTTCAGGCCCCAGCACAAGCTCCTGGTCTCAGAACCTCTTAGACACCATCCTCCCCTCCCTCCCTCCAGGGCCCGCGAGGCCTGACGGCAGAGCTGGCCCTGACCTCTTCTGGACAAGCTCCGAGGCAGAGTCCTTTCCTCCTCTATCTTACCTGACCTTAGACAATTAAGTAAACAAATAAAAGGAACACCTGCATTGGTTTTTGCTTTGTTCCACTGGAAATTCTGAGAAAAGCTGGATTTCCATCAGCTTCAGTGGGGAGAGGAGAGCATAAAGCTTCATGGAGGAAACCAAAGAGTCCAGCATGGGGAAGAAACTGGTTCTCACTCAACCCTGTTTCCCTTACAGCTTCTAGAACAAGGTCCTAATTAGATGTACTGCATCTTGAATGAATCAATCTATCAGTGGGAACGTATTTGAGCTGGACCTGGAAAGACTAAGGATAAGGAACATTTCTTTCTTTTCCTAGTGAAAGAGAATGCCTGACACACAGTAAGTGCCTAACAGTGTTGATCTGAGCTGTCAGGGGAGGTGAGGGTGATGGAGTGAGTGAGGTGCAGCATTAAGAACACAAAAATCGTAATCACAAGACAGTGGGGGTGGCTTATTTAATGAAAGATTCTGTGAAGAAAGACCACATAGAAGAACAAGTTAGGAGCCTCAAATGCCAGGTAAGGAAGGTGGATCTCTGTCTACAGGTAGGATCACTGATGACTGTGCTCAGGCCACAACATGGTTAAAATTAGTGTTTTAGGAAGACTTGTTTGGTGGCAAAATGCAAGATGGACTAGAAGTTAGAAGGAAAATCAAAAACACAAAGACAAGAGGGAGTTAGGGTCTGGGCTGAGGCTGAGACACTGAAATTGGGGAAGGAGAAATGGATTCATGACACTTGGCAAAGGAGGACCTGACCTGGTGACCGACCCTTCCTGGAAGGGGGCAGGCGAGAGGGGAGGAGAGAGAGAGAGGACCCACAGGCAGCCCTGAGCAGTCTGGGGGTTTGTGCCAGAATGGTCAGCTCATTGCTCCCTTTGTGTGAGAGTCATATTGTCCCAGTCCCTGGAATCTACTAGCATAAGCTTGTGAAACCCCTGGCCCACAGGTCAGATGTGGCCCAGGACAGCTTTGAATGTGGCCTAACACAAATTCATACACTTTCTTAAAACAGGATTTTTTTTTTTTAAGCTCATCAGCTATCGTTAGTGTATTTGATGTGTGGCCCAAGACAATTCTTCTTGCAGTGTGGCCCAGGGAAGCCAAAAGATTAGACACCGCTGTACTAGTATGTTCTGCTTAACACCCTCTAGCCTCACACATTGCCTGCTTTGAGCATCTAGCATGCCAAAAGGAAAAAGGCAAGAAGACAAAAGACTAAGAGACAATCGCACAGGCAGGAGCCAGCCTCTGGGCCTGAGCACTGGTTGAGGATTGGCGAGGAGACAGGAGCGGCCAGGACAGCGGGCCGCATGGGGCAGAGGCCACACTGGGCACGGCATGTCTCCCTCAGGTGTACAGGGAGGGTGGAGCCACCTCCCCAAGGCCTCCACCACCAGCTGAATGGAGACTTCCTTTCTGCAGGAAATGGGGAGAGCCTGGAGGCCTCTAAGTCGAGGAACGAATGCATGGGCCAGCTCTGAGTGTCATCAGTAGGGAGGGACAGAGCCCAGAGGCAGAGAGTTCACCTAGGGAGCAGTCTTGCTAACAGGGAGGGAACTGATGAGGACTGAAGCAAGGGTGGTGGCAGTGGGGAGCAGAAGGCACAGCCAGGGACGGTGGGACAGGATTTGAGAAGAAGGTGGGTCAGAGCTGGCTAGGAGCCACCTTGTCCCTCCTCTAGGCCATCACTTGCACTCCCTCACTGCAGCTGCCCCTTTAAGGTGTAGGAGCCCTGGTGAGAAGGGCGTAGAAGGTGTAGTGGTGAAGGGGCCCCACCCCACTGGTCCTATCAGGGTGTCTTGCACACCTCATAGGGTCCGTGTGAGACTCCAGGCTGCCATCTCAGGAGTTCGGTCTCATGGGAAAGTCCAAAAGTCATGTTTTGCTTGGTTGCAAAGGCCCAGGCAATAGCACAGCTACCATGGCTGAAATCCCAGTGCCTGCTGCTGTGGAGAGGAGCTCAGCATGCGTGAGCTTCGTGTCACTTGATGGACAGGTCATCTGAGATGGCCAGAAGGGGCACCCCGCCTGGCCTTACTTTACTTATGGAGACCCCTGAGCTAATGATTCCCCCAGGAGCCTTATAGAAAACGTGTGTCTAGTAATCACTTTCTGCTTTCTATACTCCTAGAAGTTAACTTCAAAACTCTGTATTCTCAAGAATATTGGGCTCTTTATTATCAAGAAAAAATCAACAATTCTCCCAAGTTTGCCCTAATTCAAAAGAGCTGGACTTCATAGCAGCACGCTACACCCATATCTGCCCCTGATCTATAGCTACTTCCGTGTCTTCATTCTTGCTCGTTATCTTCTTAAAAAAAAATGTAGTCCTATACGGTACATGAAAATAGTCCAGTAATATTTATTCAATTATGAATCCAATAATATAGTTGACTATGAAAGGTAGCAATAAACCCACACCCCACGTGAGACTAGAGCCTTGCCAATACTACCGAACATGCCTGTCCCGACACTCTGGTTTGATTCCTCACGCATCCATGGGATTGACTTTCTTCCCTCCATTTCATTCTCGTCTTCCTGAGGTCCAGGAACACCTTCCGATTCCAGCTCCGTCGTACCTGGAGTCCTCCCACCTCAGCGTTCAGGATGCAAGAGAAGTAAGATGAGAATGAGCATGTGATGATGAACAACAGATCACTCAGGACTTTGCAATTTATAAGTAAAATTATTTTCTACGGTTTTAATTATAGTGACTCATGCAATTTTGGTGTAATTAGCCTTTTATTCTTACTCATATTTTAATTATGAAATAAATATGCAAATTTATGCTAATAGCACAGTTAAGCAAAGTATCCGTTGCATTTGAGGAAGCACTCAGGCAAATTTTAAAATGGGATCATAGTTCTGACAGTTACAGAAATGGACATAAAAACAACGGGCAGAGTGCCCTGCATGCACAGCGAACACGGCCCTAGAGATAGAGCTTTCACGAACATGTGCTGAGATGTTCTGAGTAGAAAGAACGTTTTCCTGTCCATTCCTGCTGGGCTCCCGGATTCAGATCCGAGCCTGTATCTCTGGGTCTGCTTGAGTGCTAAAGCTCCTGAGGACATGAGCAGAGCCAGAGCACCTTTATTCCCAGGCTTTTCAGAAAGACAAGTGGCACTGTGACTGTTGTCTGTCAGTTGCCGTGCACTGCTTCTGTGCACTGGTGTTCCGTAATCCCACTGCAGCTGCAATGCCTTCAGTCAGGCTCAACCAAAATGGGAGCCAGGAATCACCACCCAGCAACAAGAGTCATCTGAAAATAACTGAAGTTCCTTACATGCATTCTTAAATGCTGTAACAGAGACACGTGGCCCACAGAAATACTTCTTTAAACGTTCTTCCCTTTCCATCTATTTTCCTCATAGTCCAGCACCTCTCTCCTCAAGATTTCCTGAAGAATCCCCCCCAGCCATAGCCTAAGTAAGCAGGCATTCTGAGAGGCATTCTGACCACGGCAGCCCCTTCCCAGGGCAGCAGGGGCAAGTCGGCTGAGAGGCCAAGCCGTCTCTGATGGGCAGAGGAGCGAGGCCCGGGAATGCTCATGCCTGACACATGGTCACTGCATCCTCACTGTTGTTGTCTTTCATGATGTCTCAAACCATGAGCCTTGGCAGTGGAGAAACCAGGCATCTGCAGACAGAAGTCCGGCCATGGAACAGCGGGTCGGACCTGTGTTGCCTCACAGTGCAACACGTGAGTGACTGTAGGACTCCCTGCCCTCAGCACCAGCGATGAAATCTGTCAGCAGAGATGTAAAGAATTATCTGATCTGGCTGAAGGCAGTGGTTTATGCTTGTAATCCCAGGGCTTCAGGAGGCTGAGGCAGGAGGATTGCTTGAGGCTAGGAGTTGGAAACAGCCTGGGCAACAGAGGAAGATCCCATCTCTATAAAACATTTAAAAATTAGCAGGACATGGTGGTATGCACCTATAGTCCCCGTTACTCGGGAGGCTCAGGCAGGAGGATCACTTGAGCCTAGGGGTTCAAGGCTGCAGTGAGCCATGATGGCACCACTCCACTTCAGCCTGGGCAACAGAACAAGACCTTACCTTAAAAAAAAAGGCAGGGGGAATCATCAGATATAAATAAATGTTAAGGTTATAAACCCAAGCGACACCAGCAGCTACTACTTTTAATAAATGTGAGAAAAATCCCTCCTTTGCTGGCTCAGAGCCATGCCCAGGTTGTCTTTAGCTGTGGCCACGTCCCCAAGCCACCCCCACTGCTGCCATTTCTGGGTTGTGCCCCTCACTCCTCGCTGCGCCCTATTAAAACAATCGTCTATAAAGCCATAAAGTGAGGGCTCAGAATAAACCTTGAATCCATCCCTGTAAACGCGTGGGCTGCTCCAAGGCAGCCCTGTCTCCTACTGTGACTGCCCACCCTGTGGCTCCTACCCTCTGCAGTGTTTTCCGGGTCGATTTGTGCAGCTGGCACAGAGAGGGGCAGCTCCAGTTCAGATGGGAAGGTGAAGGGGGCTCTGAAAAGCGACTCCCACCTTCACACCTGAGGATCTGATCTTATCCAGATTGTTTTTTCCTGACAGAGAAACTCCTCTGGCCCTGCTTCCCATGTTGATCTAATCAACAGTCCAAACACAATTTCAGGACTGTCAAAACAAGACCCGCAGGCCTGACATAGACAATTAACATAAGTCAAGGCAACCCACCTGCCACATCCTGTCTCTCCCCCGACATCTCATCAGGACGTTAGCAAAGCCGGTCCCCAATTCGGGCTGCAGTATCACCAGGAGCACGCTGAGCGGGGAACTCCTGACATGAGGCTGAAAGCTATAATTACCCAGTGTATCATTTGGTTGCTAAATGGATTGTTTACAAAGGTGTGCATGATGAAATCACAGGCACGGCAGAGCAGAGAGACAGGCGGGTCGGGGAGGAAGCAGGCAGTCATTAACGCCTCACCACCCTCCAGGCTCCACCTGCCAACTGCCGCCACTGCAGCAAACTCAGACCTTGAGGAGTCACCTGGGCCTCGTGGTCCATGACGTTCAGGAAATACCTGGCCTTCCTCCCTCAGGTTCCATTTGGTAATAACTCCTGGCGGAAGCAGACTCACCTTGGCACGGCACTGGGGATGGAGTTCTGACGTCACAGGCCCCTGGGGTTAGCCTGCAAGGGAAAGGAGCCCAGTAGAAATCAGTGGCCCAAGAGACCAGAAGGGGAGGTCAAAGTCACAGCTCATTCCAGGCAGATGCGCCACGGGGGTGCCTCCAAAAAATCAGGCCTGGAGCATGGGCCATTTTATGTGCCCACCTGCAGCTAGAGTAAGGAAATCAAAGACCATCCCATTAAATTTGCAGGGAACATAGGAGGAGGAAGAATGGACATGGGCTTCTCTGCACAGTGGCTGAGATGTCAAAGAGCCTTTCTAAGATCAGAAAAATGACTTGTCAAAAACAAGCTTACATACAATAGGGACAAGGAGAGGTGGCCCACTTGGAAATCTGCAGAAAGCTAGGGACACAAAATATGAATAATGGGATAAGCACACAAAAGCCCAGGAGGTCAGACTACATCTCAGCTCAAATGTCCCTTTGTAATAAAACACTATTGTAAAAAAAAGAGAGAGAGCATACACGCTAACATAATTTATGTGCATTTATGTTAAAATAATTTAAGAAATTAAGAATAAAAGAATTTAACAAGAAAGAATCATTCTAGTGCTAACAACCCAAACTTTGGAAAGGCATGGGAGAATTAGACAGGGTCTGTGAACTGGAAACAAAATGGCAAAGAGATGGAAATTTCCAAGAATGAAGAAATGGTAGCTCATTCAAAAGTATTCAATGCATTCAAAAGTGTTCACACTCCACAAGGCAGGCACGAGGTGCTCCAGTCCTGGGAGTGCACTCTCAGCTCTTGGGAATTCCAGGCAATGCAGTGCTGTTTTCTGTCTAATACGGGTCTTTCTGGACCTTATCTTAGGAACGTAGTTAATAAAGCACTGAGATAATATTAACAGAAGTTTCATTTGCAAAGTGGTCCCACTTACCCTGCCAGAAACCCACAAAATGCTGGTGGCTGGGTAGTCACAACCAACTCCCCTCTCTCTGCGACAGCAACACTCAGCAAATATTCATGACACCCACTGGACTTCAGCACGGTGGAATCCACTCCATCCTCGGAGTAGTGAGTCGTAATAAAGGAAGCTGCAAGAGCAGGGAAGATAAAGTCCGTGGCCAATTCCAGTCGATATCAGGGACCTTGAGGATGGAGAGGACAATGCTCCACTCTGGCACGAAGGCAAACTATGACTGGCAAGACCCTTTCACCTCCAGCAGCCACAGAGCAGCCTAGGATTATCCAGAAGCCCCAAAGCCGCTCTGTTCAGGGACCTAATCCATCATCCTCCCAGGCGGAATGAAGGCCAAACAGCCTGAGAGACGGCCATGTCTTCTTGTTCTAAAGCAGGAACCTGCAAGAAACAAACCTCTTGGACACAGAACTGGGAAGGAAGGGGTGATTTATTCCACCAGGAGCAAGGCGGCATCGCTGCCTAACAGCCAAGCTTCTCTAACAAGGAGCCTGCCCTTATATAGGCTTACAACTCTAGAAATTACACGTGAAAGGGTCTTGGCTTACAACTCTAGAAATTACATGTGAAGGGGTCTTGAGTCGTGGAGTAGGTGTGGGGTAAGTGGCTTAGATGGGGGTTTGATCATGTTTAAGTGAAAATAATGCCTTCCAGAAAGATTCCTCCATACCATGCCTGCTATCTATAGGAGGGCGATTAAGGTGGCACCCGGTCTGCCAGCCTTTACTTTTATTGAAATGCAGTGTGGAAGTCAAGGGGGAGGTGGTCTTAGATGCTTAGGTCTCCCTCTTCAGTTCCATCTGGCCTGTCTGCTGACTCTGAGCGTGTGGTCCAGAACCTTCCCACCCTCCGATGAATGAAGAGTTTGGGTCTAGGCCCTTCTCTCCATTGTTCTCACACAGCTTCTAAATTCCTGCCACAGAGTTGCAGGGACCAGTCTTAAGCTACTACTAAGATGAGACCCAGAGTCTTGCTCCCTTCTGATGAGCCCAGCCGCCTGCAGGGTTCCCACTAAACATTGCTGCTTTGTCTCGGAGGATGCTGGGTCTGCAAATGTGCAAACAGCAGCTGGACTTTGGCAGCTTCCATTTTGGAGGAAGGAGCCACGAAAAGAGACGGAGGGGGCAGCATTGGTTCCTACATTCCAGAAGACATCAAAAACACACACCCAATGCACATGACTTCCCATGACTTCATCCATCCTCTCTCCACCAACAGGAGGAGGGCTCCTAAGACCAGCCACACTGAAGAGATGAGGCAACTGAGGCACAGACTGCTCACGGGGAGCTCTGAAGGCCTGGGGTTTCCTGCAGCCAAGCTGGCATCAGAGACTGTGCTCTGAACCATGCTGTGTGCTGGCATCAGGTGAGCATGGCACTCACTGACTTACTGTTCAAACCTAAGGTGCTTCAGTGTGAATTCATTAATCTCTCTGTTCATGAAAGAGTCAAAAATAAATGAATAAAAACATTTATCAAGTAACTGACTTATGCCATTCATTTCGCTGGTAAGTGGAATCTTTTATATGAATTGAATACATTTTGAATGCCACTGGTTTTAATCCTTACAACCAATAAGGTAGGTAGTATTAATAATTTTCCCATTATTATTATTTTTGGAGACAGCATGGACAGTTCCAGACAATATTTTCAAGTAACCCATAAACTATCTGTTGTCCTACGCTTTCCTTTGTACAGTAAGATGGAGGAGACACCGCTGTAACCTACAGCACCAACACCCAACCTGGCAGTACTCCAGGGGAATAAATGATTAGAAGCTGTGGGCGTCGTTTCTGTAGCAATATCCTGATGCTGCACGGCTCCAACCCCAGAACTTAAATTAAGGTGCAGCGCCACAGTTCTTGGCTTGGGGAATGTGGCATAATAAGCATTCCAGGTCACAAACACCTTTTCAGCTCCTTCTCTGTGGAAGCCCCTCTTTTTCCAATATCACACCATGCAACTCAGTTGACACAGTCCCCTGCCTACAGACATGCCAGTGTATTCCGCAGAGACGTGAGAGTTTGCTCAACCACTGCAGAGTGAGAGCCTGCACCTGGGAGGCAGGGAGCCCTGCAGGAACGAGGGGAGGAAGAGACTGGGAAGCACGTGAACTCCCAAAGAGAACAGCCACTGAAGATACCTAACTGAAAAGCAAGAGTTCCTGGTAATAACCATTTCACCATCGATCAATTATGATTCCTCGATTAGATTACATACTACTCATTACCATTAAAAAAAAAACCAGCCAACTTTTCCGTTAGATTACATACTGCTCGTTACCATTAAACACACACACACACACACACACACACACCCCTGACTTTTCCATTAGATTACATACTACTCATTACCATTAAAAAAAAAAAAAAGCCTGACTTTTCCATTACAGTCAGAGCAGGTTTCATTTTGATTGAAGAAATCCAACTTCAAGAATGACTGAACGCATTAAATCAAAGCCTCCGCTGAGCCTGCAGACATTTTGTTTCCTCCCTGCCTCTACCCGGGGCGTCATCTAGCGTCCACCGCCCGGTACTACACTCTCCCACCGAGTAAGCCTGTTCCTGCAGAGTTGGTTTCAGTAGAAAATCATGAGACCTGATAGGAGAAAAAAAAAATTGGCCTCAATGATAGACAGTTTTCCGAAGTGGTTGAGCAATAAAGACTTCCCATTTATTGGATTTCACACGTGATTTTGCTTGAGCCAAGCCAAAGACTCATGACTCCGAAAAAACGATGAATAGAAGACAGAGTGTTCGGGCATTTTTCTCAGGGCTCTGTTTTTAAGAAAGACGTTTATGTGCAAAAATAAAAACCTGACTGATTCACATACGGAATAGTAACACACATTTCTCAAGGTGCGGCATCTTACAAGTAACATTTATTTGGTCCCTTCTTAGGGTCTGAATTGTACCCCCCCCAAAAAAAAAATCGTGCTGCCGTCACAAGCCCTAGTGCCTCAGAATGTAACTGTATTTGGAGATAAGATCTTAACAGAGTTAATTTAGTTAAAATGAGGTCTTAGAGTGGGCCCTAATCCCATCTGACTGGTGTCCTCATACAAAGAGGTAATCTGGACACAGACACGTGCGTGCACAGAGGAAAACCCATGTGAGCGCACAGCAAAAGGCAGCCAAGAAGGCCGGAGAGAAGCTTGCCTGGACTACATCTTGATCTCGGACGTCAGCCTCCAGAACAGTGAGAAAATCTACATCTGCTGTCTAAGCAACCCAGTCTATGATATTACACTATGCCTGGAAAACTAATACACCCCTAAACTCCCCCCACCCCCTAACCCCGGCAAATGTTAGGTGCACTTTGCTAAGAGTGCCTGAAACAAGTTCTTTATCTCCTCTTTTTATACACAAGGGCTCTTGAACCACTCTTGAACCCAAAAGGGTCTGACAGTGGCTTGGGGGTCCCACTTTGCCCACTCCTCGCCCCCGTCAATAGGGGAGCTATTATGTCTTAAACCTCTCCCTGAACTAGTTTCCTGGGTGGAATTTAAGGGGACTCAGACCTGTCCTCAGCCTGGGAGTTAAGTGCCAGGGCTGCCGCTGGCCAGCCTAGGTATGTAAGCTTTGGCAAATGACCAGGCCTGGCTGAGCCCTGATTTTCTCCTCTGTAAAATGAGAGCGATCGGATTGCTTGGAGCACGAAATGTGCTCAGTGTGGGGCTTACCACGGGTCTGGCTCACAGTAACTAACTACTCTCACGCTCCACCGACCACTCCTTAGCAGCAACGCGGACACGAGAATTCCCAAACTTCCTCTAGTCAGTGTTCAGAACCCCGCCCTCCCGTTATCTTCAAAGGGGAAGGGAGAGCAGTGGGTTATGGCTGTCAACTTTTACATACCCCTGACCACAGACCCTGGGGAGCTTCCCTAGCTAAAAACGAAGTTTAGAAAATTGCTTGCAGTGACCCGTGATTTCAAGGTCCCCAGTGAAGAATGATAGATCTATTGAGGATAGGGGTCCCTGGCTGCAAATTTAGAAACATTTTGTTTCTGTGAGAGGAAAAAAAAAAGCAGAGAGGCACGGGGGCTGCAGGGGATGGCTCTGGAAGGACTCTGCAGCGAGGCGGCTGGACTCCTTGGAACCGCAGCGCCGACGCCCCCATTTCCCAGGGAGATCAATCCTCCGGCGGGGCCATTTCCTCCGCCGCGCGGGCGGCTGCGGGAAGCTGCGGCGGGGGCCATTAGTGACCCTGTGACCCCGTTCACCGAGCGCGTCCTCGCCCGGGTGCTCGCTGCCCGGCGCCGCGCCGTCCGCCCCCGGCCGGAGCAGGCCGCGGGGCCCGAACTGGCCCGAGGCCCTGTCGCTCGTCCCCCTGGCTGCAGGCTGGCACCCCCCGAGCCGCAGCGGCCACGCAGGTGAGCGCCGCTGCAACCTGCAAGCCTGAGTCAGCTCGCGGCGCGTGAGGCGCGCGCACTGCGTCCCCGCGCGGCCGTCGCAGACAGGCGCTGGCCGGGAGCGCCGCGTCCCCAGACAGAAGCCACAGCTCCCCCTGGCGGACACCGGTTCCCCAGCGCTGGGCTTTCCCCTCCTGTAGTAGTTTTCAGCTGAAGAAAACAGTGGACAGATTTTCCCATCAGAGGGCTTGGTGGCAGGATTCACACAGGCTTAAGGAATGAAAGAAAGGAGAGGCGATAGAAAGGAAGAATGGTAAGGCCTGGAAAGCTCAGGCAGAGAATGTTATGCACCTGCATGTTGTGAACCCAGTGGCAAGAAACACTTGTCTGCGAGGCAAACATAGCCACGTTGACTTTCTCTCGCGGAACCACGGATTCTTTGGCAAGGAATGAATGAGTTATAAATGCAATCTGTCTTCTTAAGTATATTAAATACGTAACACTGACCTTCACAAAGGCTTTTGTCTGGAACAAGGAATGAATAAGTAGGGTAATGAATAAGAAAGTTAAAGCACCATGGAACACCATTTGAATAACTTAAAAAATTATTTTCTTAATATAATGGAAACAAATGATAAGTAAAATGTCTTTATATGAACATCTGAAAAAGCATATAACTCTAAATGGCAACCCTAATCCAGCAGCTGTAGTCAGGCTGCTGTAACAAAATACCATAGACTGGTAGCTTATAAACAACAGAAACATTTCTCACAGTTCTTGGGGCTGGGAAGCCCCAGATCAAGGTGCAGCTGATCCAATGTCTGGGGAAAGCCTCTCTCTGATTCATAGATGGTGCCTCCATCTATGGCTGTGTCCTTACTTGGGAGAAGGAGGAAGAGGGCTCCCTGGGATGTCTTCTATAAGGGCACTAATCCCATTCATCAGGTGACCTGATTACTTCCCAAAGGCCCTGCCTGCTAATGCCATCACCTTCAGAGTTCAGTTTTAACATGATTTTTGAGAG